GGAATGTGATTAGCAGATGTCTCCGTCTTCTTGCCATTCTTTAGGACATCCACATGACACTCAGCCATCTCAAACCACATTAAAACTGAATTTTAACATCCAGCCTCTGGAAAACATAGTGAATCAAAAATCTGTAAGATACACCAGGCGCGGTGGCTCACGCCTGTAATCCCAGCACTTTGGGAAGCCGAGGCAGGCAGATCGCTTGAGGACAGAAGGTCGAGACCAACATGGTGAACCCCCTGGCCAACATGGTGAAACCCCATCTCTACTAAAAATGCCAAAAATTAGCTAGGTGTAGTGGTACGTGTCTGTAGTCCCAGCTACTCAGGAGGCTGAGGCACCAGAATTGCTTGAACCCGGGAGGCAAATGTTGCAATGAGTCCAGATCGCACCAGTGCACTCCAGCCTGGGTGACAGAGCGAGACTCTGTCTCAAAAAAGCAAAACAAAACAACAATAACAACAACAACAAAAACCTGTAAGATAGAAAATAGGGTGTTAAAGACCGAAAGAGGCCAAAGGAGAACTGACAGATTGGCCACTCCAACAGGAGCATGCAGTGAACCAAAGGCATGTGTGCGAGGTGCTGGTGGCCGTTCAGATCCATAGACCCATGAGCAGCTTCATGGCTGCTAGAAAAAAAGAGGAAGAAGGACAATGAAGTGCAGGAAGCCTGGAAGCAACTCATGAGGTCTGGGTGAAGAGCTTAGGTTTGTAAGCACATGGCTGATCTGTGTAGAAAACGTAAATGCAGTGGTTTTTTGTTGTTGTTGTTTGTTTTTGTTTTTTAATGTCTCGGGGGCACAACAGGGAGGGTGCCCCTTGGCCATGAGAACCCTCTTTGAAGGTAAACAGGTAAATTCCTTTATGCAGCATGGTGCCAGGTCTGCTGCTTCCTGTGGGCGCTCCTGGGACAAGGGCACCAACATTAAGACTGAGAGAAAAACCATAGGTTTAGGGTTGTCAGATTTAGCAAATAGAAACACAGGACTTCCAGTTGAATTTGAGTGTCAGATAAACAACAAATAATTTTTTAGTATACATATGTCCCAAATATTACATGCCAGAGTAGCCCTACTCAAGAGCAGAGCCGGTCCCCAAAGCACTCAACCAGGAGAAACTTGAGCTAAAGGAAAGTCTCTCCCCAGGGCTGAGAGAGCCCAGCGGTACTATTCTAAGACCCACCCTATTTTTGAAAACAGGATGGAAATGGGCTTTGTTAGTTTTGGGGTGGGGCAGTCTTTTGTGAGAGGCTATGCCATGTTGTTTGCTTTGTAAAATGTTTTGCCCTGCAAAATGTTTTCTGCATTATCCTGTATTGGGCAAGGTAGTTCAAGGAACATATACTATAAAAGTAATGTAGTTTTGATAATTCCAAGTCAGATTCCTATAGGAGATGGACAGTTTCTTAGTCCGGAACAATAAAATCCCGTGTAGCCAGATAAACTGCTTCTATATAACCAGGCATTTATTTATTGAGACCTGTAGAAGAAAATATTGGTAACTATTTACCTCATCAAGGAACATTTCTAAGCATAAAATCAATAAATCCTTTGTATGTCAAGAAACCAAATTAAATGATAAACTGAGGGAAAATATTTACAAGACAAATAAACAGGAAAGGTGTTATATACTTAGTAGGTAAGAAAAGGTGGACACTTGAAAGGGAACAAAAAGGCAAAGGATGTGAACATTCACAAAAGAAGGAATATAAATGGCCAATAAAGACATAAAAAGTCCAGGCCTGATGTGGTGGCTCACGCCTGTAATCCCAGAACTTTGCACTTTGAGAGGCCTGTAATCCTAGCACTTTGGGAGGCCGAAGTGGTCAGATCACCTGAGGTCAGGCATTCGAGACCAGCCTGGCCAACATGGTGAAGCCCTGTCTCTACTAAAGAAAAATACAAAAATTAACCAGGCGTAGTGGTGCTCCCCTGTAATTCCAGCTACTCGGGAGGCTAAGGCTGCAGAACTGCCTGAGCCTGGGAGGCGGAGGTTGCAGTGAGCCAAGATTGTGCCACTGCACTCCAGCCTGGGCCACAGAGCAAGATTCCATCTGAAAAAAAAAAAAATATATATATATATACCTTTTATATATACAAATATATATTACATATATAAACTTTATAAATAACTATAGCAAACTGGCAGATCACAAAATAAAAATACTCAGTTTTGCAAAGACTGTAAGGGTCTAAGTACAAGGATCATCTTGGAGGACTTATTTATGACAGCAAAAAAATAAAATAAATGTTCAACATTAAAGAATGATTAAGGCCAGGTCCATGGCTCACACCTGTAATCTCAACACTTTGGGAGGTCAAGGCCTGAGGATCACTTAAGCCCAGGAGTTTGAGACCAGTCTGGGCGACATAGGGAGACCCCATCTCTACGAAAAAAAAAAAGAAAAAAAAAATTAGCTGGACATGGTGGGTGTGCCTATGATCCCAGCTGCTCTGGAGGCTGAGGTGAGGATTGCTTGAGCTCAGGAAATTGAGGCTACAGTGAGCCATGATTGTGCCACTGCACTCCAGCCTGGGTGACAGAGCAAAATAGCAAAATACTGTCTCAAAAAAATTACATCAAATATACGTGAAGATTGGAAGCAAATATATCAAAATACAAACATTGGGTCTCTGGATTATTTTTGTTTTCTTCTTAATACGTTTTCTTCCCTAAAATTTCTACAACAAAGAGGTAGTAGCATTCCTGTCATTGAAAAATAGAAAATTATGTTTGAGAAAGAACACAAGTGGAACATTAATACCTTTAAGTAGGTCTTTGAGAGAGAAGGAAGTAAATTCTGATAATTCTCTAACAGAATGACCAAGACTTTTCGCAGTGGAATCACCTAGAGAACTTGAGGAATACCAATGTTAAGGCCCCACTTCCAGAGATTCTGGTTGTATGGACCTGGTGCCCACCCCATGGGGTTTTTGGCAATGTCAGGTCATGCCCCGGGGCATGCAGGAGCGATCAGGAGTTTTGGAGTTTAGGTCCCTGTGGCCTGTTGGAGGAGCGCTGCAGGAGAAACAGCAAGACCTGATTTCAAGTCTAGTAAGTGGTCCTTTAGGCACATAATTTAAGTGAATCTTTGTGTGTCTATCTGTAAAATGAGAATATTTAATGTCTACCACAAGAGTTGTGGCCTCAAGGAGAGGATAAATGAGGAAGTACTGTGTGAAATAGAAAGCATATACAAATGTCCTCTTGTTAGAACCTGGAAATTCAGACTCTAGCAATGACCTTTGATCAATGGAATATCCTTGACAGCACTGGGACAGATGCAAATAGGCAGGTTTGTTTCAAAACTGTCCATCTTATAATTTGATTTGATTTGCAGATCTTTTAGGCAGGTGCTGTCAAACGTGGATGCCTGGGGCAGTCCTAGCCAGAGGGCTCATGAGCAGGGGACAGCAGCCAATAGATCTGGGTTGGTTCAGATCATTTGGTCGTTCCTGCTTTGAAAAGTGACTGGCCTCCAGGAGTCAAAGCCTTGTTCTCCTGACAATGTGCCTTTGCACTTTTAACAAACACACCAGAATGTCTACTTCCAAATAAATGTTCTTATCTAAATTATTTCCTCGTGAGGTTGTATTACCATAGCTTAAAATGTCTTGGGAATTCCTTGTTTGAGATTGCCTTTTGTCTAAGCTACATTTTTTTTTTTCTGGGTATTTTCAACCAGTGAATTTATTCTCCATCCTCTGAAGAAGAGCTTAATTTTAGAAAGCAGCCAAAAATATCTTTCAGAACCAAACCTGGTGATTAAGGTGGTAGTCTAACCTAGGTAAGACATTTTATTTTTTAAGTAGAAAGGTCACTTGTAAGGTACGTGTGTATCTATCTTGCTACTCACTGTACTCAGTGCCTGACATACAGACACTCAGTGTGTCCTTGTGGAATGGTGAACAGAGCCTGGCTCTCCTGGGACCCACAAACTGGCTCCTAAGGCAACTCCGAAGAGGTTTTTGAGCAACACCAGCCTATTTGGCACTAATCATTCTTAGCCCGTATATTGATTTGAATCAGTCTCTTTCCTTTATAAGTATTCTACCTCTATACCTTATGCGTTTGATCAAGGAGAAACTGTGGTAGTTCTTTCTACCTTACTGAGGCTAATGCTGGATTTAGTCTTCTAAAGCAACCACTAATCAGTGACGTTGGACAAATCCAGGCATTTTTGGAATTATTTTGCACGCCAACCCAAACCACAGAACATCTAAGCATGTGGCGGGTTAATAAGGACAATGCCTGAAACCCAACTCACTTTTTCACACAATGATTTCAAGATGCTGACATTAATCTTGACTTGCAAATTGACTAGCTGAGGTCCACACTTCCATGCCTTCATACATGTGAGGTGTGCAGAGTTAAGCAGCTCATAGGCAGGGCAGCAAGCACCGGCTTGAGTGTCAGGACACCTGGGCTATTCCAGCTGTGCTGCTAACTAGCTGTGTCTGCTTGGGAAAAACGTGTCTCACACACTCCCATCCGTACAAACACACCCTTAGTCCTTATTTATTTACTTACCTACACAATGATCTAGCACCATTAAAATCATCATTCTAAACTGAGAAAAGGCAGACAACAGTAGACACCCCACCGGCAAGGTCCTGCCCAAGTACTGGGGAGATTTGTGGAGCTGCAAAAACCAGTTTGAGGCCAGGCTCCGTGGCTCACGCCTGTAATCTCAGCACTTTGGGAGGCCGAGGCGGATGGATCGCTTAAGGTCAGGAGTATGAGACCAGCCTGACCAATGTGATGAAACCCTGTCTCTACTAAAACTACAAAATTAGCTGGGTGTTGTGGCGCACGCCTGTAATCCCAGCTACTCTGGAGGCTGAGGTGGGAGAATCCCTTGAACCCAAGAGGAGGAGATTGCAGTGAGCCTAGATCGCACCACTGCACTCCAGCCTGGGTGAGAAAGCGAGACTCCATCTCAAAAAAACAAAACAAAACAAAACAAAACAAAAAGCCAACAACAACAACCGCCACAAAAAAACCCAGTCTGAGCAGAGAGAAAGTCTCTGCTTTGAAGGAGGAAAAAAAGACAAAGATGAAGCTCACTGCTCCTGGCACTGGAACTGAAGGGAACACGCAGGTCATCTGAGGTCAAGTTCAGGGCATGCAGCCAGCCACCAGGCGGGAAGGAAGCAGAGTGAATGCCTGCCTGCTCTCCCAGCCCTCCACCTTCTGAGCAGAAGTCCCACACTGGCCCCCTTTGCTGGGTCTCCCAAGGGACCTCAGAGACTCCTTCCAGACCCGGGCATTTGGGCTCTGGCCTCAAAGACACAGCCTACGTAGAAATGCTGAAAGAAACAGGTAAGAGAACAGTGTGAGTGACGGAGGCTTGGCTGGCCTGGCTTGTCTTTGCCAAGCACTCTATTTAAAACATTTGAGCATTTCTCGCCTGCTATTGCCCTCTACTCCAGCCTTGCGGTCTCCATGCCCAACCCCACCCCTCCACAGGCTCTTTTCTTAGCTCCCTGCCTTTGCTTATGGTGTTTACTCCAAATCACCCAGTCTTGCTCTAAAAATCCTACTTCACTTAATGCCCAGATCGAATGCATGTAATCCAAGAAGCTCCTTAACTGGAAACAGCACTCATTTCGGTCCGCAGTGGTATCACACTTAGGGGCATGCGGTCTGATCCCATCAGGACCTCAACACACCCCACCCTTCACCATCCCATCCTGTGTATCCCTTCCTTTGCCCATGCTGCTCCCCTGCTTGGACCGTCCTTCCCGCCCTACCTGCCCAAATGGTCCTCACCTCACCCTTCAAGGCTCAGCTCAGCTGTACTCTGTGAAGCACTCTCCAGCTCTTTCTGTCTGTCCACTCACATGCACCTGCCACTTCGATTTACTGAGTGGCTACTCTACCTAGAAGTTTGTCTACAAGAATTCTAATTCTTGGTACCACTTGAAAAGTAGTTGCAAAATTCGTTTCATTTTGAGATTTAAGGAAAACAGAAGCTCAGAGAGGCAAAGGAACTTGTCCAAGTCGCACTGCTGGTGAGTGGCCCAGCCAGGATTTGAACCCAGATTTGCGTGATGTCTAATCCCAAGTCCTCCATGTACTCCATGCTACTTATTCATTCGTAAGGCAGATATTTTAAGCAGGAGACTGTCAGGACCTTAAAGATTGTCTTGCTTGCTTTCGAAGCAGGAACCTAAAGTATAGAGATGTTCAGTGACTTGCCCAAGGTGATACAGTTTCTCTCAGCCCCCTTCTCTGATTCCTCCCATGTGCCAGCTCTGGTGGCCAGGGAACTACCTATCACTGCAGAGGCTGTCCAGTACCAGGTAACATTTGTCTGGGGTCCCCAGTCATAAGCCATGGGGCACATACCTGCACTGCAAGCAGGGCCCCAAATTAGTCAAGAGAGAATGTTGCAACAAGCTCAGAGCCACAGGATATATTAGCACAATCGTATACAATGAAAAAATCCTAAACAGTGGCTTCAAAATTTATAGCTTTCTGACCAGGCATGGTGGTGACGCACGCCTGTAATCCCAGCTACTTGGGAGGCTGAGGCAGTAGAATTACTTGAACCCAGCAGGCGTAGGTTGCAGTGAGCCAAGATTGCACCACTGCACTCCAGCCTGGGTGACAGAGCAAGATTCTGTCTCAAAACAAAGCAAAAGAAAAAAAGTAGTTTACAGCTGTCTCTAGAAGTCTGAGGAGTGAGTCCAGGGCTAATGTTGCAGTTCTACGAAGTCAGGGCCTGAGGCTTCTTCTGTGTTTTGTAATTCACTCTTTATGAGGCACTTCGTGATCCAAAGTGACCCCCAGGATCATGGGGAAGGGGGTGGCTCTGAGGGCAGAATCAAAGGACTCATCATCATCTTTTTCTACCATCCGTTGTAAGGAACTCACAGTCATAATCTAGTCCAGAGTCAGAGAGGCTGCTCAGAGCCCACCTGCAGCTGGCCTGGGACTTAGCTAGTATATAGCTAAGTATGTTAGCAAGTATGTTGCTGGCAGCATGGAGGGGTAAGGGCGTGGGACGTGTTTAATTGCTTAGTGCCAGGGGTCTTTCTCAGGCTCAGCCTGCTTCCCTTTTTCTTCTTTCTTCCTGCTTTCCATTTGTCCAGTATCTATTGAATTACTCACTCCCATGTGCCAGGCACTGGAGATACAAAGTGGGATAAGACATAAGCCACGCTCTAATAAAGAGACAAAGAAAGAGATGATTTTAGGCCAGCCATGGTGGCTCACGCCGGTATTCCTAGCACTTTGGGAGGCTGAAGCGAGTGGATCACCTGAAGTCAGGAGTTTGAGACTAGCCTGGCCAACATGGCGAAACCCTGTCTCTACTAAAAATACAAAAATTAGCTGGACATGGTGGCGGGCACCTGTAATCCCAGCTGCTCTGGAGGCTGAGGTAGGAGAATCACTTGAACCCAGGGGGCAGAGGTTGCAGTGAGCCAAGATCACACCACTTCACCACTCCAGCCTGGGCTATAGAGCAAGACGCTGTCTCAAAAAAAAAAAAAAAAAAAAAAAAAGATGATTTTAATGCTACGTGTAAGAGCAACAGTAAGATAAATGCAAAAGGCATCTGACAGGAGCTCGAAGGGAGGCACCTGACACAGCCAGGGTAGAATCAGCAGAAGCTTCCTGGAGATGACAATTGTGGATGCCAAGGGGCTTAGAGGTGAAGGGTGCTCCAGGGAGAGCACACAGCATGAGCAAAAGCAATGAGAGTGCGGGGAGTGTGGGGCAACCATGAGTTGAATGTAAACACAAACAGGGGAGGGTTTGGAAGGATGTGTGCCTGCTCGGGGCCCCCCCATAGGCACATTCTGGAGGCACCTGGTGGTATTCGAGGCCCTCTGGCTGCTCTGAGTAGGGATTTGGGAGAGCCATAGCAAGAGGCAGAGAGCCTGGGTGGGAGGGCTGGGTTGGAGTGGAGGTGAGAGAGCAGGTAGATCTGAGAAATGTTAGCAGGAAATTGGTAGCACCAGACATTTGCCTGGCTGTTGGAGATGAGTGACAGGGAGGAGTCAGAGGATCTCAGTTTTCTAGCTGGATGGCTGGAAGGATGATGGGGTCACTGCTGATATAGAGAATACAGGATCTACTGCCATACCATCCTGAATGCGCCTGATCTCTTCTGATCTTGGAAGCTAAGCAGGGTCAGGCCTAGTTAGTATTGGATAGGAGAATAATACAGGGTCTTCTCCCAGCAACCTTTCTTGCCTTGGGGAATACTCCCAGCTTCACAGTAGGATATAACCTTTCCTATGTTGCCTTTTGCATAGCTGATCTTAAAGACATGCACATGAGCCCTTTTCTTTCTTTCCTTCCTTCCTTCCTTCCCCCCCCTTTTTTTTTTTTTGACGGAGTTTTGCTCTTGTTGCCCAGGCTGGAGTGCAGTAGCACAATCTCAGTTCACTGCGACCTCTACCTCCCAGGTTCAAGCGATTCTCCTGCCTCAGCCTCCCAAGTAGCTGGGATTACAGGTGCCTGCCACCACGCCCAGCTAATTCTTTTTGTGTTTTTAGCAGAGATGAGGTTTCACCATGTTGGTCAGGCTGGTCTCAAACTCCTGACCTCAAATGATCCACCTGCCTTGGCCTCCCAAAGTGCCAAGAGATTACAGGCATGAGCTACCATGCATAGCCGGGCCCTTTTCAGTGGAAAGATTTTAATTCAAGTGCCCTCAGGAGATGAAGTTCCCTTCACTCTGGTGTAGTGAATGAAACATAGGAACACCGTTTGTACCGTGGAGTCTCCAGGCCAAAGCTGAAGTTTCAGCTTAGGTAACAAATGTTACCTAAGCCCAGTGGTTCCTAGTGGAAGCTTTGGTTCTAGAAAACCCACCTGTAGTAAACATCTGCCATTCTTTATGGAGAACTAGTAAATCACTCCCTTTCCTGTGTCCGAGGACTTATTCACCTTGTTTGGGGATAGACCCCATCTCTCACAATGAAGATGTGATATCAGATACTGTATTTCTCAGACTCCCTTGCAGCTACTTGGCATGTCAAGGGCATGTGGCCTAGGCTCTGCAAGTCAGATGTACCTGCCAGAGTCTCGGGTCCATGAAGAGCATTCTGTGACAGCAGCAGTAATGACAGGGAAATCACATTCTCATAACAGCCATGGTGGACCCTCCTGGGGACTTGCAAGTGATGTACCCTAAAACCTAAGCTTCCTTAGGTTCACAGTAACTTCCTGCTGTTTGCGATTAAGGACTGTGACTAGTTCTTTGGTGGCATATCAATCCAACAGAGTACATGGCTAAGGCAAAAGCAGAGTCTAGGAGAACACAGACATTGTTCAGAGGACAGTCAGTGAAACCATTTAGCAAGAACAGAGGGTTCTTTCACAGGGGCGGGTAAAGATAAGGTTGGAGGGCTCCAAAAGCCCACTTAAGGAGCCTGGTCATCACCTTCTAAGAGGTATCAATATTGCTTTAATGATTTTTGTTTTGGAATAATTTTGTATTCACAGAAAAATTGCAAAGACAACATAGAGTTTCCATGTATCCCTCATCCAGATTCCCCTAATGCTAACATCTCACATGACATGGTACATTTGTGAAAACTGACAAGTTACTATCAGTTAAACTCCAGACTTGATTTGGATTTCACTAGTATTTTCCACTAACGAACTTGGTCTATTCCAGGATACAATTCAGGATACCACTATGCATTTGGATACCAACTTTTTTTTTTTTTTTTTTTGAGATGGAGTTTCACTTTTGTTGCCCAGGCTGGAGTACAATGGCGCCATCTTGGCTCACCACAACCTCTGCCTCCTGAGTTCAAACGATTCTCCTGCCTCAGCCTCCCAAGCAGCTGGGATTACAGTCATGCGCCACCACACCCAGCTAATTTTGTATTTTTAGTAGAGACAGGGTTTCTCCATGTTGGTCAGGCTGGTCTCGAACTCCGGACCTCGTGATCTGCCCACCTCGGCCCTGCAAAGTGCTGGGATTACAGGTGTGAACCACCACATCCAGCCACTGACATTTTTAAAGAAGAATATTAACATGATTAAAGGTTTTTAGGCTGGGTGTGGTGGCTCACAACTGCAGTCCCAGCACTTTGGAAGCTGAGGTATGTTGATCACTTGAGGTTAGGAGTTTGAGACCAGCCTAGCCAACATGGTGGTGTCTACTAAAAATACACACACACACACACAAAATTAGCCAGGTATGGTAGTGTGCACCTGCAGTCCCAGCCACTTGGGAGGCTGAGGCAGGAGAATCGCTTGAACCCAGGAGGTGGAGGTTGCAGTGAGCCAAGATTGTGCCACGGCACTCCAGCCTGGGCAACAGAGCAACGCTGTCTCAAAAAATAAAAATAAAT